GCTGTGATCAGCTGATCACGGGGCCGGGGTTAAAAGAGAGACGCCACCCACCTGTTCGCCGCTCAGACATCATTCTCTTCGTGTCAGGAGCTCCGAAACTCTGCCGACGTCAGTTTCCGCCTGATTCAGCAACCGTGAATGATTATCCCTTTCAATCCTTTTTCTCTTCCCGGCTCCGCTCGCTCTCTGTCTGTAACGACAGTTCCGAAGCCACGCTTCGTGCACTGATCGTTACTAGAATAACTGCGTGTCTGCTCCAAACCCACCGCTAGCCTTCGCCGCGCTTGGGTCTAGCCAGCACGCCACACGGGCACGCCGAATTACTGTGTGTGATCCGCCCGACCGTGACAAGAATATAGTGTTTTTTATTTTATTAATCTTCCAGCAAGCTGACAGTGTTTGCTGTTGTAGTGGTTTTAAGCAGTTGTGATGTGTGATTGTATTCCTGATAAATGATAAATCTTTGATTAATCGATCTTTATAATCAGATTGTCTAGACCTGGATGAAGGTGATGGGTTGAATGCATCCATTTGATAAGGTATTGTAGTTGGTTATCTAAGAAGTAGTAGTTGAAATTTGGTGCTTCTAGGACTCCTTGGACTTTTGACTTTTGTAATATTTTTAGTTTTATTCTGGAGTTTTTGTTTTTCCAGTAGAATGAAGTTATTATTGTGTCCAGAATAGTGAAAAAAAAAAGCTTCTGCGGGTTAAATAGGGATCATTGTGAATAAATAGTTGAGTTTAGGTAATATCATCAACTTTATGGTGTTAATACGTCCTATAACTGATAGCTGTATTGTCAACCATTAATTTAAGTAATCTTTTATTGTTTTTGATAGGAGTCTTGAAAACTGCTGATGAATTTGAATGTGGTCACTGGATTGGTTTATAGAGTAGATATAATTTGGAACTGCTTAATATTGCTGTTGTGTGCAATCTTCCCAAATAAAACAAATGTGACAATGGGAGGAGGAAGGAAAGAAAATTAAATAAAACGCACAGATAAAGAAATAAACAAAAAAAATGTTAACACTGAAACACATAAAGGCATTGCGTACACAATGTTAAGAGCCTAATGACACATGAGTTCAGAGACAACTATGTTAACTGTTCTTTTTGGATTTTATCAATTACTGTGGGGGGAGAGAAAAAAATATGAATGGAATGTGAGCAAGAAAGAGGGAGGGAGGAAAGAAAGAAAAAAAGGTAAAATAAATTAGCAGCGACAATGATAACTTTAATGATCATTTGACATATAAAAACACCCAAAATCACAACACATTTAGTCATGAAATTGTTTTATGAACAATTTGCTTTTCAGCTTGACATCATAGTTCTATTCTGTAAAACCAACCTGAGGCTTGGATTTGCATCTAAGTGAGTTGGATCTTCCATTCATTGCATATCCAGTATTTGAAGAAATGCATTCACAGGAGTCAGGGATATTATTACCCCAGTCTGTGGCATTCCTAATTCCACAGCAATGAAACTGTTAACAAACAAGAGATTGACTTTAAACAACAGGAAATACTCAACAAAATTCTCCACTATTCTGTTTTTTATCAATATAGTGACTGTAATGTAAATATCATTGCAAAACAATTCAGTCAATATATGGTGCAATCAAAATGTTTTTTGACTCCAATCTTGGCTGATCTCCCCTTTAAGGTTGGTCCTTGTTCACCTCTGGGCCCTTCCAGTGCTACTGTTATGTTTAGGTAACTTACAAGTTCTGTGTTGACTACTTGTAAAAGCACAGTTGCAACAAAATCCACTAGGGCCAGTAGAAAGACTACTATTATTGGGGTAAATAGTGCAAAAAACATTACATTTGACTGTATCTCCTCAACCATACTTCTAATGACTTCTTCTCTTATGTTGGCCTTTTGTAGTTCATTCTGGAGGGCAGTCTCTATCTGGAAAAGAAAAATAACATTTTAGTATAATGGTAGAGAAATGAAGAATATATTCTCCTCAAGACAGACAGACACAGCAGGCCAAAAAGCACAGAGAAAGCAGAGGGAAAGATGAAGCAATAATAATGTTATGGATTATGAGACAGCAGACGCTTAAGCAATAATATGTCCACTCATAACCAAGAGGCCCTTCAATGGTTCCTCTTACAGCAGTTACACTTCCTGATTTTATTTGTATCTTCCTGAAATATTTTGACTGAATCCTAATTCTCTGAAATGCTACTTGCTTTCTTTTTAAAGTACCTCTTAAGTCCCATGGTCATGGCCAACTAGGACGGTTGAGTAAACTGATCACTTGGTAGTGTGTTGGAGAGTTATTAAGACTGAGATATAAAAAGCATACTGCAGAAAGACAATGAAGGTAATTTATCTCCAAAAGATAAAAATTAAGTCTAGCGGCAAGATAACAGATGGAAATACTAAATGTAGCTGATCAGACAGCAATGGAGAACACAACAGAATTAAGAAAGAAAAGACAAGATGACCTCATTTCTTCCTGTCGCTACATTGATGCCACCATAAAACATGATGATCATTCCAATCCCCATGAAGCTTGCAAACTGTACACAAAACAATACAAAGAGCATCCACAGTTATTGTTCTAATAATTATAAAATTAACACAGCATCAGCTTGTTATCTTGTTTGATGTGGAGTTGTACATACTAGTTTGAGGCCGATGATTGACTCACAGCACGTAGCAAAGATTCCCAGAGAGGAAATACCGAGGACGCCGATGGCAAACAACCAACCCCAAATCATGTCTGGCAAATCAAGTGATGAGAACTCCTCCTGAATGATAGGAAAGGACACCAACAATGGATTAATCTGGAAAATTATTTAGTTCTTCAAATGAAAAAAAAAAATCAAAAACAATCATCCAAAATAACATTTTAGACATGACTGTCCGGTCCATGTTAGACTGACTATCCCAACCCCCCCGCCCCAATGCTACCATAGGTCACACAAGAAGCATTTCAAAACCTGAACCAGGCCATACGAGGACCAACCTGCAACTCACCACCCAGCAAGTAGCATTCCTGAGTGAAGAGGCCAGCTCATTCAATTCAATTTCATTTTATTTATATAGCGCCAAACAGTGTTGGGGAGTAACGGAATACATGTACCGC